GAAACGCCTCCGTTCACCCACCGACCCGAGCGCAGGGAAAGTGGACGAGGGAAAGCGCCAGACTTCAGGAAGTCTTGCCAGCCGCGGACTAGCGGCATCCGCTTGGTTCCCAGGGGAAACCTGCATCTTGAGCCAAATGGCTACGGAAGAGGAGGAGGAGGAGGAGAAGGAGGAGGAGGAGGAGGAGGAGGAGGAGAGGGAGAAAGAGGAGGATGTGGAGGCGGAGGAAGAGGTGTCGGGCGATGTGAAGGAAGACGAGGAGTCTTCACCATGCGACCGCGCGCCACGCGCGCGGCCGGGGCCGTTGAATGAAGTGGGCTCCGCACGGGCGGCGAGCAACGCTCTCAGTAGACCTCGTTCGACAAGAGGGCCTGGGCGGCCAGGAAGCCGCAGCAGCGCTGCAGGCCAGCCTCGGTAGAGGAGGCGGTTATAAGGGGCCTTGGGGCCGCAGCAACCATGCTCATGCTCAAAGCATCGCGAAGTGCCAAGAGTTCGGCGGTCGGCTGCGAGCTGAATGGGCTGCGACAGTGAACCAGCAGCTAGACAGGATGCGACAAGGAAGCCGCTGGCGTCGGCAAACAGAGCGACGCGGGTGCTGATAGCATCAGGCAGTGCAGAGAGCCCAGTGGATGCGGCGGCAGCTTGAAGATAGCGCTCCGCGCTGGAACCTGCCGCCACCGACGCGACGCCAATAGACGCAAGGGGTGCCTTCAGCATCAGTGTAAAACATTTGTCGCGCCTGAGTCGCGCACGCACGCAGGGGTCGAGTTAATCCCTGCTTGCGCTCTGGCGATCCGCAGGCATATCGCCATTAAGTAAATGATTCCACCGAGCACGGAAGCCGCTTTGACCCAAAGTCGACAGGGCCCCAATGGAATGCCGCATGTCAAAAGCCAGCTTAAGCATCTTGACAAGTCGCCCGGTCGGAACACCTTGCGCGCTGCGAAGGGTAAAATCGACTGGTCTTAGGGGCGGGGATGGCCAGGACAGCGACGCCCGACGTTTCAGGGCGCGGAGGCCCCGGCCCGAGGAGCTCAGACGGCCTCCAACGCCTCGGGCCACGTCCCAACCCTCAAACAGGAGAGCCCTCCAGCGAGGGCGGTGGACGTGCACCCCCAAAGTCGCGCGCGCGCGGGGGCGCGCCTGGGGGGCGCCCGCCATCGCGCAGACATGCCCCGAAAGCGGCGAGGGAGTGCGAGGAGGATCCCGCTGCGGCACAAAGCGCCAGGGGCGACCGGCGCGCGCTCGGCCGACAGCAGCTCGAGCGCGCAGAACGATCGGGCGCGCCGATCTACATCGGCGGGCGAAGGGCGCCAGTCGACGCGCGAGCGGGCGCTGCTGCGCCCGCGGCCAGGGCCGTCGGTCTATCCAGCAGCGCCGGCCGTCGCCACGCAGAAGCCGCGCCAGCAGGCGGCGGCGCAAATGCGGCCCTGAGCGGCTGCGAATCGCACACTTCCCCGCTGGCCAGCGAGGCCGCGCGTCCGCCGCAAGCGGTTGACCAGCGGCAGGCGGGCCCCCCGGCCGTCGAGCTCCCCGCTCGATTCCCGCGCGAGACCCGCGCGCATCACAGCGAAGTCTGCCGAGATGCTCCGCGACGCGCCTCGCGGAGGCTTCCGTCTAGGGGGCCCGATCCCCCTTCGAAGACGGCCCTCCGCTCAACGGCAGGCGCCGCCTCCGCCCGCTGGCGCGGGGGAGCCCGGCCCCGTCGAGCGCGCGCCTGGGACTGCGGCGCCGAAGGCCGGGGGCCGTGCAACCACGGCAGAGTTCGCGGGGAGGCCCGCCCACCTGCTCGCGCGCCAGGCGAGGCCCATGAATCAGGCGACGGCCGCGGCGGGCCTCCCGCCTCGGACCTCGTCGCCCAGGTCGACGCCTGGGACGGCGCCCGTAGCTCGAGACGCCCGCTCCTGCATGGCTCGGTCGGAGACGACCTCGCCGCTCACTGTCGCCGGCCAGGGGGCGTCGCCTACGGGGGCCAGCCCGGCCGCGTGGAGCAGGCGGGCGCGCGCCCCCACGGCGTCGCGGCGGCAAGGAGTCACCTCCCCGCCACTGGGTTCGAGGAGACCCCCCAGACATGCTGCGCCGGCCACGTGCTCGAGTATATCCCAGCCCGGAAAATGCCGCACCACGGCGGGCGACCCCCCACAAAGCTCGACGAGCCGCCGCCCGCGCGCCGACCAGGCGCCCGGTAGCAATTGGGGAGGCGGCGACGCGACGCGCGGGCGGCTGCGGGCCGCATTGTCAACTGCCGCGGCCGGCAGCAACTCGGCCCGCGCGGCGGGGCGCGGCCCCGAGCGCCCCCCCCCCCCCCGGGGAGGCCGCGCAGCTGCGGCGCCCCGCAGCACCGCGCAAACGTCCTGCAGGCGGCGCGCCCCCCTTCCCTGCGGCGTCGAAGCAGCCTCGGTCGGGGCCAGCCTGACGAGGGGTCGGGGAGCGAGGCGGGACCCAGCGGGGGCAGCGGGCGTTGGGAGCCAGGGGGGGCGCAGGGGGCGACGGCGGAGAGGCGCGCCGCCACGGCGCACTGCCCGCGCTGGGGGCCTGGCGAAGAGGCCCAGCCCCTGTCCACTGGGGACCTTCCTGTGAGCGCCGCTGGGATCGGCGCGCTCGAGAGTGCTGGCCGCCCGCCCAGCGCGCCCGCGCGTGCCGGAACGCTCCGAGAGCGTTCTGGAGCGCTCTGGAACTCGTCTATCCTCGTCTTAGCCCCGTCCGATAGAGCGCGGAGGCGAGGCAGGTGCTGCAGCGGGAGCACCAGTCTGAAGGAACGAAGACGATCGGATGGGTCAAGCACGCAAGAGAAGCAGCTTTTCAGATACCGTGCCGAAAGAGGAAAGAGCGGGGCATGGTCCGTGCAGAGTCAGGGGAGAGAGGGGAGCAGCAGCCATAATGTAATTGTAGGGACCTTGTTGGATCTTACCAGGGCCAAAAGTTGCAGAGATGCAAGTCGCTTTCAGACGATGGGCCGTCGAGGCTGCAGCAGGGGACTTCTCCGCACGGGGTCCGCCGAGGCCAGCCTCGGAGGCCGCATAGGCGGCGGGCTGCGAGGGAGTGGGTAGACTGGACGGCTCCAACGGAGCAAACTACCGGGACGTGCGCGAGGATATGCAGAACCACAGGCAGGGGTGGCCAACCTGGAGAGATGAGCTGACGTTTCCACGTGAGCCGCCTTGCGGTGGTGGACCGACCTAGACTTGGCCAAGAACGTGGTGTAACGAAACACCACTCGGGTACAGCCAGGGTGGCTGGCAGCAGAGCGGCGGGGGTGAGAGAACATCCTGGATCGAGCCTGGGCCGATGTCGCTGTGTGTGCTAGCCCAGGCATGGCCAGGTATGGCAGCGGTGGGAAACGCCTTAAAACCGTAATGGCTGGAATCCAGAGCGGGGGACGTCTCCAGATGGAGATCCTTCGGGGCTGCCCTAGAAATCCGCGTGGGCAGCCGACCGCGGTGGAGTGGACAAGGAAGGGGCCTGGACGAACCCATGGGTGCTGTCGGTCACACCACGAGCAGAATCATGACCACAAGCGGGGGGTACGCACACAGCTGGGGACGTGGTGTGGAAACAGTGGGGATCGCTGGCAGCAGGGCGGTGGGGGTCATTGCATTCTGGATCGGGCCTAGGTCGGCGTCGCTGCATGGCTGTGACACGGCCCGAGGCAGAGCCGAGTAGGTGACTGGGGGATCTCCAAACGGCGGTCTGTCTGGACACGAGAGCGGGGTGGAGCGGCGTGCGCCGCGCCCGTGGGGAAGGGGACGGGACAAGGCAGTGCGCGTGTGGCCACGGGGGCGGACCGCGCAGCAGCTGAGGCGTACCACGGCCGCGAAGCGAGTGAGGACCGCGAGTCCGCACGATCTCATGTCAATCCTGAGGGCGCGGCATCGCACGGCAGCGGCGCGCGCGGGGGCCCCAGGTTGCGCCGAACGCTTCGAAAGCGGCGCCATGGGGGATGCGAGATCCCGCAGACGGCGATACTCTGAGCGCCAAACAGGTCTGAGCCAGACTGGCTACGAAAGAGGAAGAGGATGAGGCAGGAGGAGAGAGCACGAGAGTGGGGGGGATGAGAAAAGCAAGACATGCTGTTGTCGCTGACTGACCCCTGCCCCCTGGGGCTGAGCGGTGCCCGTCTGTTCGCTGGTGCCAGCCTTGAACGCGCAGTTTTTGCGGCGCCGACCGTGTGGCCAGGGTGTCCCGCTGCAGGGGTCGTTCGGCCGTCCGCGCCAGGGCGCCTAACAACGCAAAAGAAAATGCGCTGGCACGCAAACACCTCCATTTTTTGGTCACCCCTGCGCCGCCCCGAAGGCACTTCCAGAGTGCCTTCGGCGCGCGCGACCCAGACTTCGGGTAAGCAATATTGTATTAGACGATGCGCTGCGCACGACTCCACCACACCACCTCTGCCAAGTACCCCTCTGGCCATCCTCGTGCGGCCTGGCGCTCGACCTTGCTCGAGCGCGCTGAGGTAGGCCCGCCCTGGACTCGCCCGAGCCTCGGAAATGGGAGGTGCCCAGGCTTCCACACCTCGAGCAGGCGAAAACCAGCTCCTTTCCGAAAGACGAAGACAAGGGCAAGGGAGACAACGAAGAATCAGGACGGGGAGGATGATACAAGCCTCCAATGCGGGGTCCAGGTAGATGGAGTCGGAGGACCGCGCCGCGCCGAATCGCCAATGCATCGGTGATGCATCGGCGATGCACCGGCGATACATCGGCGATGCATCGGCGACGCCAGCGCGAAGAAAATGAGGCCCCTCATCGAGCAGCATCGGCGATGCGGCGCGATCCTCCGAACCCATCTTCTCGCATTCTATCTGTGGGGCCTAGATCAAAGGAAGACGAAGACAAGGGCGAGGGAGAGAACGAGGAAGGAGGACGGGGAGGACGAGGAGCAGCAGCAGCAGGGAGGACAGATGACGAGGAGGAAACAGGGGATGAAGCGCGACCCGGTCCTGGCTCTCTCTCCTGCCCCTGCCTTGTCTGGCCGTGTCCCCCCGCGAAGCGGTGTTAATCGAAAGCACACACGTTGAAGTCTTCCCCAGTGTCGGCTGGCATTTTAGCCATCGTAGGACCGCTCGGTGTGCCTCCCAGGCACTCCGAGGACGTGCTGACATAGACGAAGACCAAGCCGTTGCAATTGCTTGGCTGTCCACGATACTCTGGTTCCACATCACGCATCGGTGCCGGAACCAAGGGCTGGGCGTCGGCGTGGCCGCTGGCGGCGCAAGCAACCTCCAACAGCCAGCCCGCCTGAAGGCCCACCAAAGGGTGTAGGAGCAGCTGGGCCAGAGGATCGCGGACGCATCGGCGACGCATCGGCGACGTCGGGGTGAAGAAAGTTTGGCGTTGGTTCGCGCCGCATCGCCGATGCTTTGGCGATGGGGCGCGATCCTCGGACCCCACACCTGCTCTGTCCCTGGTTGGGCGGCCTGAATCGCCGCCAGCGCTGCTAGCGCCCCGGTGGCCCGCATCCGCAGAAGGAGCATGTCGAGGGTGCTGGCTGTCTGTATGTCCTTCGCTGTCGCGCACGCCAGGCAAAAAAACAAAAGTTGTCTTGGATCGGCGTGGCTGTGGAAATGAAGTGGGCGGCAGGGGTGAGGGGGGGCTAGGGAGAGGAGCGGAGGCGGAGTGAAAGCGTACGCTCCATGGAGAGTGCGCACGGTATCCATCACGCGACAGCGTGCGCTGGGGAGAAGCGCGCGGCGTGCACGGGATACCAGCAACCCTCATGAAAAAGTGAGCGCGACGTGCAAGCGGGGGTCGCTTCTGTGATGTCGGCGAGACCAGACTTCGGGCTGGGGCACCGTGTCCCAGAGCGCCCCAGTGGATCGCAAGTCAAAGCTGCGAATCCACGTCAGAGAGCCATGGCTGCGGTGAGGGAGTCCATACCAGAAGGAGCACGACACGCATGTGAGAACACGTGACTCAAAAGAGCCGCACTTCACGCGAGATCGTTCGCCATACGCAGACCAGAACAAGCACGATGATGCCAATAGAAAACTGGAGCGTGGGCCCAGAAAAATGGTCAGGACGAAGCGTCGGGAGCCTGTGAGGGCGACCAGAATCTGAAGGATTCGAATCAGGATCCCGTGGCCAGGATCCATCCACGGTGACCACGACCCCCAACATACTGGCTGAAAGAACAAGTCCAATTCCATAGATGCAGCCCGGGAGGGCGACACATGGCACCCAAAAGGCACCAAACCGTCAAACAGCCGCCAACACCACCCCCCATGAATCAAGCAATGTTACTGGCTCCTTCCCACGCGACCGAATGATGGTTGTACCGAGCCTGCTCGAGAGAGCTCGGCTTAACCATCATGCATGGACTTCAATGATGCGCTGGCACTGTTGTGAAATTTGCCGCAGGCAGGTGGTACTACGCAACGCCTTCGTATGGGTTGGCCTCTGGTTCGGGCATATGCGGAAATACGTAATGATGGTAATGGCATGTGATGACAGCACATGTGCGGTAAAAGTTCAGGCAACTACAAGAGCATGCACTTCCGCGCCAATGGATGTGGCATGGACGTTCGCGAGCAAGTGCAGTTGAAACGTGGCCAACGATGACCTGTGGATGTGGCATGGACGCTCAAGAGCACCTGCAGTCGGAGCATGGCCGCGATACTAGCGGTGAAGAACATGAGCCCCTTAGCCGAATACCAACAGGGCCCCATAGAGATTCCCTAATCGAAGGACGTGCCAATGTATGGAAGGACGTGCCAATGTGGACAGACCCCCAAGCACAAAGATCAGAATTTTACCATTCTAAGGCCAGGGTTGTTTTTAACCATCTTGCGAGCTGTAACGCAGGACGACGGCGAAACCAATGGAGAGAGATACGATCAGAATAAGGGCGGGGGAGAGAAAGGAGGGACGGGGAGGTGGACGAGGACAAGCAAGCCTCAGAACTGGGGGCTAGCAACACCGACTCCACGTTCCCAACGCGTGGGAGACAACACGGATAGGCTACAGATTATAGCTGAATCTGCAAAGCCAGAAACATGAGAATGGGAAAAAGTGGAGGGAGGGGGTGGTGGAAGAGGACGGACAGACCTGGTTCAGTTTCTCTGCCTCCCCCCTTGCCCTCCGAGATGGGTGGTTCGAGCGCGACAAAGCCGCACTATGCCCTTCTTTCCAGGAGGGGAATTCTGCGGGGGCGAAGCAGGAGTTCGCAGTTCAATTGGGAGCTACAATCGAAACGTGAATAAAGACGAATGGTCATGACGCAAGACCATTGGAGGCCGAAGTTGGGTTTTCCCCACCATCCTGTGGTGTCGGGTCCTCGCTCTGCAGAAACAGCGCCGCACGTCCTCCTCTCTTCTCTTCTCCTACTCGCCTTCCTCCCTCCTCCAATCCCTTGCTTCTGCCTTCTGCATGCCAACCAACTCAGCACACCCTTCACGAGGATCGTGGCCCCACAAGGCCCCAGTGGCAGGGTTCGCATGGCGGCCTCGGGCAATCTCGGCACGACCCACGAGGATCACGGCCACACCCTTTTCACCCGGCAGAACCTCACATGAATTGGCCCTCCTATCAACGTGATAGCAATACCTTAACCCTGAGCCTCGGGGAACTGGGACTCAGGTGAAGAGAAGCAGCAGCAGCAGCAGCAGCAGCAGCAGCAGCAGCAGCAGCAGCAGCAGTAAGAACTTGATTTTTGCGCGTCGGCGCACCATCACGATCTCTTTGAGCCACCACGCCGGCGACTGTCCGCCAGGCGTCGGGCCCCGCCGCTACCTCCACGAAGTTCAAAGACTGGCTGTAGGCGACCCCGATGCTGACACCGACAGCGGCAACTGCGGCCGAGGGTTCAAGGGCACCGGTGCTCACTGCCCTCCCCAGCGCCGCACGCTCCCACGGCGCGGCTGGCGAGATCAGCTGCGCGGCCGACCGGCAGCTGCACGCGTTGGTTGCAGCTCGCTGGGCGATTCCCGGGCGGCTGCTGCTGGCCTTCATGCCAGCCTTCACGGCCGCCACTCGCCTGGCACGCCCGGCACGTCTGCCGGCGCACTGGCAGCGGCCTCGACCCGACATTGTTTTGGTCAGTCTTGGAGCCGGCGATGTGAATCACGATCTAGTCCGCGCCGGCGAACGCGCCGGCCCGCCTGCTGCCCCTCCTGGTTTCGACCTCTTCTCCCCTGAGCACCCTCTCCTCTGACCAGAACCCCCCCTTCTGCACAAGGAATTCGGGGGGCCCTGTGATGGAACAAGACAGCAGCGCAGATCGCGGCCCACATCACGCCCGCGTCGATCGCGCTGGGGCCGCTCCGACTACTGTCGGACAGGTAGTCTCGCGCCCCGGTTCCTCTCCAGGCCGGCTAGCGCGCTCCAGAGGCGCCCCTGATGGAGGGAGGGTCCGCGAAGCCTACCACGAGGCGGGCGCAGCGCACCGCGAACAGCTTCCGCTTGATCGCGCCCTCGGCCCTGCAGAACACTGCAGCGAGGAGGGCGCAATCGGTCATCCGCACCTCCCGAATTCGCGCCGGCAGCCAGGGCCCCGGCACTCGGCGCGGCGGCAGGCGCGCCACCGCCTCCAGCCGCCTTCGTAGCCGACGCGGGCCCCCTCGCTCTGCTTGGACATTGTCGCCTCGATCTTCTGTCGTTCCAGCCAGGCGCCGCAGCGCTTCCCTCCCGCCCGCGGCTTCGCGGGCAGCACCATCTGAGCGCAGGCCCGCCCCAGCGCCGGAGGCATGACCAGGGACGCGGCCGGCAGCGCGGCCGCCCTGCGGTTGCCACACTTTTTCGGCGGCTCGATGCTGCCGGCGGGGCTGCCCAGCTCGACGTCGGCCGCGTCGGGCACCCTCTCGGGGCCGATTTGCTTACAGCGAACCCGCTGGCTCTTGTACCTGCCCACGTGAATATCGTCACTCAGGGCGCCTCCGGCTCGAGACTCGGCTTCGATCGCAGCCGCTGGGTCGCTGGGCGACTTGGCCCAGGCGCGGATGCGCCTCTGCGTGGCCGCCCAGGCTGCCTGCTCTTCTTCCAGGTCCCAGCAGACGCCAGCGCGGCCGTTCGCCGCCTCCTGCAGCGTCTCCGCAGCTGCCTTGAGGAGCGCGCGCGCGGTCTTGGGCGGCAGAGCTCGGGCGACCTCCTGCAGGAGGCTCGCCTGCTCGCTGCCCCCTGCCAGGCACTCGTCCCAGGCTGCGCCGCTGCTGCCCTGGATCCGCCAGACCTCCATTGGGGGTCAGCGCCCGCGCCTTGCCCTCAGCCTGGCCGGGCACGCTCACCAGAATGGCGCCTGGCCCGTGCGGGGGCTTTCCCAGCCAGCGGACCGCACGCGCAGCAGGACCCTTCGATGCCGCGCACCAAGTGCTTCACCTCGTCGAAGGCGATGTCCCCGAAGGGGCTCGGGCAGGAGCGCGTCGCCCAAGGAGCAGATCCTGGGGCCCCAGACCACCTCTCCGACCGCGTCGAGCCAACCGTGGTCGCTCGGGTCATCGAGGTACTGTTTGATGCCTGCGCGGCGGCAGCTGAATGCTCGCCAGGCCGAACTTCGGCTCCGCAACCCGCTATTAGGACGCGGCGGTTCCGCGCCGTGGCATTGCTGAGCTGGGCGCACGCGATCTCCAGCTCGGCGATGGCGTAGCCCAGCTGCCTGAGGGTATTCAGCAGATTCGCGGGGTCGGTCGTGGTCGGCAAGTCTAGCAACACCACACAAGGCCGGATCTTGCCAACACCGATGACGACGGCCCTAAACGGCCGTCGTCATCGGTGAGAAACGCACGCAGCCAGTCGACCACTCGGCGCCCAGACCCGCGGCACTCCCGCCGAGACCCGCGAAGGCCTATAGGCGGCGAGGGGGGCCCGACCTCCAAGCACTTTGACCTGCCAACGAGGGCGGCACGCGCATGCAAGCCGCGCGTCGTAGAGCACGATGACGAAGGACCGCTTGCGCCAATGGCCCCGCCGCGCCGGGGAGCTGGAGGAGCTTCTCCGTCGCTTCGGCGGGGGATTCGAGGCTCGTCCATCCAGCCCTGGCCAAATCGCCGCGGACCTTGCCAATCTCCTTCCTCGAGAGCCAGTCGGCTACATCATTGTGGTACGCTCCTACGTGCAGCGGCGTGATGGCGAAGCCGTACTCAGCCTCGAGCCTCTCGATCAGGCGAACCAGGTGTCTTGCGAGGCCGTGCTTGGGTCGGCGTTTAGCCAGCCACGTCTTGACGTTCTGGCTAGCTGTCACGTGGAAGACGAGATCGCCCTCCCACTGGCTGCCACGCGTGGCTGCCAGCGCTACCAGCGCGCGCCGCTCCACCACGGCGACGATCCAGTCGTCCTCGCCGCTGGAATACGCCAGCGCGTTACCCAGCTGCTCGAGCAGGTCCTTCGCCTCGGACGCGATGAAGGCCGGGGGCTCCCGCGCGGCTTCGCGGGTGTCTTTGCACCAATCGATCGCGTCCATCGTGCTCATCGCGGCATCCCCGCCGGCCCTGCGCGTGGCACGCGCTGCCCCTGGTAGTGCCATAAGCCC